TGTGCCCCAATCCCTTTTTTTAGGAATTGTCCAATTTAGGCATCTCTCCTCTGAATTCAATTATTGCACCTGACTCTGTTCAGGTATATTTTTAAGGGTTCCGGAGGAGCCGTCCAATGGGGTTGCAACACAGCTAGCAATCGCTTACACAATCCTGGCAATTTTGGAAAAGACAACTTTGCTATATGTGTATTGTACACTAAGAAATGGAAGGACCCAAAATACTCAAAAATGTAAATTCAGCTGTGGATTATTCTTAATTTCTGATTGAGACCAGCTTTGAAATCATTTGCCTCATGGATGGCTGTGACACCCAGGAGGGCAACTAACACAGAGACTTTGGAGGGGGGGGGGTTGCAGGAAGAAAGGAGGCCGCCTCCTGGCTTCTGGAAAAGATTGGGAAACAAAAAAAAAGATATCCAGATGTTGAGGGGATCCAGGGATCCTCCCTGCCAAGGAAAACTCCAAAGGAGGGCTTGTTCCTGCCTTGTGCTTTGATTTAGGGCAGTGGTAGTCAACCTGGTCCCCACCTCCCACTAGTGGGCGTTCCAGCTTTCATGGTGGACGGTAGGGGTTTGCTGTAACTCTGCTTTATAAATTTTATAAAGTTACTTTCCTACTTTATAAATCACCGTTACTGTGAAACCGGTGGGCAGTTAGAAAATTTTACTACTAACAGAGATACAAAAGTGGACGGTAGGTATAAAAAGGTTGACTACCCTTGATTTAGGGGGTCAGTAGAGGATGTGTGGGTGAGGAAGAGGTTCTCTCGTTGATCTGCTCAGCGGAAGAAGTTTGTCTCGGCAACAGAACTAAAGGAGCTTGCTGGATTTCCGTTCTCTGAAAGCTGAGCCAAGCCAGACCCGGTTTGTACATGGAGGGAAGTCCCGCAGCTGTGGCTGACAGTCAGACGTCCAGGTGGCTACCTCAAAAGACCTCTCCCCAAAGTCTTACGTGCATCTGGAACAATCTGGCTAAGTGATCCCCTCTCCCAGTGAAGGACTTGAGTTCGGTGGGGACCAGGCCCCATGAAGCTTTCCATACTACACTTTTTGGATGAAGACATTTGCCTGTTACGGGACCCCGGGTTTTGAAGGCGGCTGATGCCTGTTGAGAGACACTAAGGCCCTGGAGTGGCCCATGACATTTCCTCCCAGGGTCCTTTGAACTGGGGTGGGGGCAGCATCTTGTTGGGTCAAGGGGTTTAGGATGGGCTAGAAATTCCTGAGTATCCACGGAGCAGGAAAAAGGGGAGGCCTGGAAGTCTCCAGAAACTTTCCTTGCAAATGGCAGCACCTTTTTCTTGAAGGGAGGGGGCTAGTGGCCCTCCAGGAAGGAAAAAGGAGGCGGGAGAGTGGCTGAGCTGCGTATGCCCACCATCCATCCCAGGCACCGTCCACCTCCGTGGAGTGTTGGCTCTTCCATTTGTCCCCATTTCTTCCTTCCTGAGTCTTGGCAAAAAGGCTGGAGCCCCCAGTGTGAGACCAGGGGAGAGCTGGCCTACACCCCCCCTCGGTCCTTGGAGGACTTCAGCAGGCAGAAGATGCTGACCAAGCTGCCCAGAAGGATGGCGACGAAGAGGAAGATGAGGCCGACCCATGGGCCAAAGGGGGTGCCCTTCCGGAAGCCGGGCTCTTCTGCCGGGATCATGTTGGTCAGGTTCAGCATGTAGCCCAAGGCCCAGCCGACGGTCGTGTCCCCGATCTGCAAAAGCAGGAAACAACCCCCCACAATTGCACAAAGACTCCCTCGTGCCCCCATCTGGCAGCTGCTCTCAGGACCCACAGCCAACCCGCATCCACTGCAGGACCCCCTCCCCTCTCCAGCCCTCTTCCCCCAAGCCTTTCCCCGGGAAAGCCCCCTTACCTTCTTCTGGAAGGCTATACTGGGGAAGGTGGAGTTGTTGAAGTGGTAGCCCCGGGTGAGCAGCAGCGAGACGAAGGTGGCCATCGAACAGTAGTTCTGCAAAAAGGGCTCCAGTTTTGGCCCCTTCTTGAGCAGCTGCAGTGGCAGAAAGAAACGCCCAGGCTGAGTTTCGGCCTTCGAAAGGGCAGCTGCTCTCATCCGCCACCCAACACAGCCCCACTTGATCTCCTCCCCTTCATGATGGAGATGGAAAAATTATTCACCCCTCACACACAAATTATTCACTCCGTGTTCATTCCAAGGATTGGTTATTCTTCTTCCTCTCCTCCTCCTCCTCCTCCTCCTCCT